AATATTGTAATAACATTGCAAACATCAAATAAAAAATAATAAAAGTTCAGATGAGGCTAATGAGAGTCATACGCTGATGTACAAGCGAAGAGATACGAGAAACAGATAATCCTCAGCTGTTGATGATTATCTTCATTTTATTTCGAACGTTTCAACTCCCTTTGGAATCTTCCTCAGCGAATACAAAATCAAAAATCTTCCAATGAGAGCGAGTCACTTGCAGATTGGCAGAAATGCAGCATTCATTACACTCAATTGGAAATGAAAAAAATAAAGCTAAAAAATAACAATTCACAGTTGTACAATTAAATAAGAAAGTTACACTGTATATTAGATACATATCATTCTTCTGAGTACGAATTCGTGTATGTACGATATGACGTGTCATTTAAAACTCTCTTAAGACTCATTAGCCTCATCTGAACTTTTATTATTTTTTATTTTATTGTTTAAGATTGAGAGTCCTTATTTATATTTATATATTTATTTTAATTGTTTTTATCGCAAACATCGTAGCTGCAAACTTATGTGCTCCATTACTCTGTTTCCATCTAGTCTTATAATTTTTGCATCTTCATGTAAAGAAGCCCATTTAACAGTGTAATACCATCAGTAGCGTTTATTATAACGTCCTAAGGTAAATTCTTTAAGAGCGTGGAAGAAAATTACGCGCGGCTGACGAGAGGAAGGTGAAGTAGAAAATAAACTACAAAGAGATGCAAAGTAGAGGGGTCGTGTGGATTAAAAATGAAGCCTGCCAATTTCCATTTCGTAAATCACGCCGGCGATACTCACTGCCAAGCGAATCCGCCGGTGATACCTTCTCGCAGCCGATCCTTGAGGCTCCGTTGCCTGGAAGGGATGGTGTCTTCCGGTTTAATAGGCGGCCCACCGCCGCCACCACCGGCACCGCTCCCGCCACCGGAGAACAACGCCATACCTTCCGCGTTCCGATAATCGCGTCGATCGTCGATCAATTACACCTGCGACACTCCCCGCGATCTCTCCACGTCAACAATTTCACATCGCGTATCGAACGGGCATGTTTGAAACTGGTCCTACTCCAGATTTAGATATTTAAAGAACTCGACCCGCGCGACGAAAGATATCGGTCCGATTTTCGATCAGTCGCGTCGACAATCGCAGTTCCTTCTCGGGAACGTGCGTGAAAAACACTCGCGAGCGCGCGGAGCTTCGGTGAGCTTCGATAGCGGTTATCGCGCGTGCACCAAGGTCACATGCAAACACCAATTCGCCGATCCGTGATGATCAGCGAATCGATCGGACTTCACTGACGTTGTACTTGTCGCCAACGGGCGTATCAGCTGCACAGGCAGACACGAACGAGCCGCGAACGAATCGCGGCCAAGACGACATCTGATGATGACCGTTGGCAGCGACGTCACTCACCTCTCTTATATTTCCCTCCGCGTCTCACCTCTGACATGGTGCCAATTGTCGCAAATCCCCGGCACACCACGAGTCTACAGGAGCAACCAAATTCTGTTAACTCTTTGATAAATGCGTAACAGCGAATTCACTTTGGCAGAACCACTTTGTTGCGATTATTTTTTAAATTAAGGGAAAAAAAAGCGAAATACTGATACGAATCTATACATTTTTGTTCTCAAAATAAATATTTTAATTTTCTAGAATTTAAACGTACTTAATAAGTAATTTATGACAACAGATTATCTTAAAAGTGTTCATAAAACTCTTGAAATTAGACGATAAGAGCCTCAAAACGTAAAAATTCTAAAATATTGCTAATTTTGTTGTTAAATGACATCGAGCATCATCATTCTAGTATTAATTTGAAACGTTTGATGGTATTTCATAAATTTAATTATCTTAATCTACTTATACTAATAATATTTAATAATTTTGAGGCATTATTAAATATCATAGCCAATGAACTATGATTTAAAATATAAATAGCGCGCACATTGTTCAAACCAAAGAAAACTCCTTCTACGAAGTCTTATAAAAGAATTAAAAAATTTAATCTCTCGTTCTCCTCTTCTCTTTCTCACTTTTAAAATTTATGTTTTTTTTTTGCAAAATAAAAAATTTCATGCTAGAAAAAAATTTGTATTTGTAGTCAGAATTTAGTGAGCAATCTTTTACACTCAGAAAAAAACATAGCAATAGCAAATATATATGTATAGGTGACTATACACATTTTTTATCATATGGATTAAATTAATGTTACAATAATTGTAAAATAGTTTATTCAACTATGTGTGTGTGTGTACTTCAATTTTTCTCTCTCTCTTCTCTCTACACATAAAACTTTTATAGTTATTGCCTATATTGTAGTTTGCTGCCACTATATGTCTTTCTCTCTGCATGAGTGTTTTATGATTATTCATCGTGATGTAATAGTTGATAAAGCTTCTTAATTTATAATTAATTATTGGAATAATATTTCTTATTAAGAATATTTCTTATTAAGAACTGAAAGCAAAATAAAAACACCTACACATGATAAATGAAACGGACGATAGCAAAATGAAATAACACGGGATGTTACCGATGAAAATGATACCGGTGTCGTATACTTAATGCATTCACGTGTCTCCACATGTTTTAATCTTTTTACGTCGCGACAACGCTACGCGAGAACTGCGCACTCATCAAAATAATAACGAAACATGAACAAAAAACCCATTCATCAGCGTAGTTAAAAACTAATCTGTGTGGTGCATATATATATAGTTACAAAACATGTTTTCTGACAACCATTGTATTCCCTTGAACAGTTAGCCTCCCTCACACCTTTAATCGTCGAGTCATGAAACGCTGTTTTATATCAAAAGGATATATCCAAATATTAATTTAGTAATAATTCATTATTTATTGACATATAAATACATTTGTAAATTTCAAAGAAACTCGGCAGCTTTGCAAATGCAATCCATCGTTAAAAGGCGTATTTTCGTCGATTCATCATAAAAATATACAGACGATCGATGATTGAGAAAAGAAATGGAGGGTAAAAGAGTAATCCGAGAAGGAATTGTCAGAAAAAAAGGAGAAGTACTGTTAGGAATGCCAGGAGGAACTGATCGCTGAAGATGGATCGAACACCCTTGTAAACGTTCGCGATAATCAATCAACCGATCTTCTTGACAGACAGCTCTAGTCGCAGGATAACATAACGATCTACGGATGTTCTTACAGCTACGATAGGAGGCTTTCGAAGGAAGAATAAATTGAATTTACGATACAGCCGATAATATGTTCACATTAGATATAAACTCGTTTTATACATATAGTAAATTATAATTTATATTACGATTTATTTTACTTCAGTAATGTTTTATACGGTTTTATGTGGTTGAACATTACTCTTGTTCTGAATGTTCGACATAAAAAACAAGAAGATTTTTAATGCATCGACGTGTACACGGTCATCTCGGTTCTAAAGGCAGGGCGATCAAATCGAACATAACAACCTCGGTTAAACTTTATTACGTCGAGCTCTGCGCGTATAGTCAAGGCCGCGACGATGATAACAGCCGATCTTAATTATATGGAAATCGAGCAGAGTCTTATTGTTCAGTTGAGACATAATGATTTCCTTTGAAACAGCTGCGACCGTTCGAGTAGAACACAATACAATGATCAAAGTTGAATATTAGAATATTTGGGTAAAAAAACATTTATCAAAATATTATATTAATTCTATCGTAACATACGTTTATCAAAGTGGGTGTTATCGTAACGTCATAATTTCGACAGCATGATAATTTTATTATAACGCTCCCTTACTTCAAAAGTGACACATTTAAAAAAATGTTTAAAAAACGAAAAAGATTTTCAAATTATTACTTACGAATTAAATAAACATTATCCTATCAATCATCAAAAGTGAACTACGTAATTATTTATTTTAACACATTTTACATTCCAAACAATCCATTCACAAATTTTTATATCAATTTAATACAAAATGAATATGTTAGAAAGTAATATAAATGAAAATTAACACAAGAAATGTAACACTTTGATCAAAAGAAGCAAATTGTAAGAATATATTTCTTCAGTAAAATTAACGTTTATCTTGTATTCATTTATCTTAGAATTTCCATTTTAAAACTACATTATTTTTATGTTATCTCTTTATTTAGTTACTCATCGTGTTATTTTAAAACTAAGAAATGTTAAATATCAATTTAATTTAAAATATTTAAATAACATAATAACAGTAGGATAAATTAATATTCGGATATGTTAACAATTCGACACAAAAATTCTTTAAATTTAAGTATAAGTTTTTTAATTTTAAATACCAGTTTCAATACAAGTACAAAATGAATGGTTTTTACTATATAACTTAACTTCATAAAAAATTGTCGAAATCGTCACAATTCAAAAAGATTTTTTAAACTTGTGAAATGAAAATGATAAAAATAACATTTGATGTTAAAAATTAAAAATTATAATATTCTTTTTGCGATATTATTCGATTTATAATTAATAATTTTCTGTCAAGTTAAAAAATGGATTTTCTCCTTTTCTGAGAAATTTCATTTTTTGAGTTATGTACTTTTGAAACAAGGAAGCGATAATTCTATTATAAATATACAACACTCTTATGCCATAGTTTCCTAAATTTTATTTAATTGCACTTTAGAATACCTACAGTTTATATATAATAGCGCGTGTTAAAAAATTGGATAATTAAAAAAATAAATATTTTCAGACTCAACGATCAAAATAGCATCTAATACATGATCTTTTTAAAACGTTAATCTCCATATTTGACAACTCGCTGATTTATAAAGAAAGTTTATCAAGCACGCTCGATGAATCAGAACGAAAAGTTTCAAAGTAGCTATCTGCTTTCAGGATCATCGTACGTTTGTCTACCCTATACCAAAGGTATCTACGTCAGCGTTTCGAGAGCCGCTTCAATGGCCTTGTAACATATATACAAAGGGCGACCTATAAAATCCGCAACACACAGTTCAGCCGACATTACAGCGAAAACTCGACTACAGGGAGTTAAATGTGGCGACGAATTTTCCGGTGCGGAAATTCCCGTCGTTGCCGATACGACGACGGGCTTTTGTATCTCGCTCAAGGGCGTTATCAAGGTTAAGGTCACAATCAAGGTCGTGCCAGTAGCAGCCGTTAATCCCGGTCCTCGTTCCTCGTGGTGAACACACCGGCCTACGCCTCTCCATGTCGAAAGCCTCCCAGTATTGATCTCCCTTCGCCCACCAAACTCGACCAATCCCAGCTGGCATTGCATGGTAACCAACGCTCCGCCAAGTTTTCCGAAGAACCAACCTACCGCGGGAGTCCCTACTACCTGAACATTCAAAAAATTCCGTGATAACTGTTACTAAAGCCGCGATTTAATTCGCCGCCACACCGTGCTTCTCGTGCGTACCCTCGGACGTCGTCGACCTTCGTCCAAATCGCGTGACGATCACCGTCAGAGAGACCTTCAATCTACGATCAGCGTTTAAGTACTGCCTGCTTAATTGTTTACTACTTTTTACTACGGTTATTTAGTCGTTCATTTGATTTAGCAGTTAATGAGAGCCAAAGAACTTTAACTATTACAATTTTTCAGCGTAATAATCATCGATTACTCTATTCTAGTTAACTTATAGTTTATTTCTTTCTTTATATTATAAACTGTAAAAATTAAGATAGAAATATGAAGTGGAAACTTTTTTATGTAAATACTACAACATATAGAAGTCTAGCTCGTTACATAACAAAGCATTAATAATAAAGATGGCCAAGGAAACGAGCAAAATAAAAAAAATAGTAACTGCAATTTATTCATATATTAATAAACACGAGAAATAGGACGAACATTTCGCGTATATTCTCTGAGTCTTTTTTAGCTAATACATAAATAAAAAACTGAAAAACTAAACCATAACTTTGACTTTTCTGATAAATAATGAATAAATTCTAAATACGTAATGGTTTATAAAATTTATATAAAGATTATTCTGGAATACGCAAAATATAATAATCACTGAAATTTGAAATATGAATATATGCAGATATCATAATTCTAACTATTTAATTATTACTAAAATAAAATTGGATCTACATTGATATTCAAACCTCAATAATACGATAACGTAATATCGTTATCTTTCATATAACTAATAAAATAACATTTCTGATGACGTTAGGTGAAACGCGACCTTGACACATCTCAACGAAAGTGGGCCATTCTCACGCATTCCCTTGAAACTCCTACACTTACATTTGGCCCAGCAAGATGTTCTAGGTATTGCGCGATTGTTTCGGAAAGTAGGCCATACTCGGCCTACTGCAATCCTAAGGACACTGCACCTGCGCGTCGCAGCATCGCGTGGGTTTGTTAAGTGTGTTTATATGTGCTTCCTACAATTTATCTACTCAAAATCTTACAATAATTCATTAACCATTTTCTATTAATCAACCAAAAAATAAACTAAAAAAATGAGATGAATTGAGTTAACTAAAAGAGAATAATCGATTATTGTTACGCACAATAATATAATAATAATAATTATAGTTCTTTAGCTCTCACTCTCACCAACTTTAATTCATTAACATATTTCTATCGAAGCATCAATATTCTTGAAAATTGCTTTTCTTGTCGACACGAAACTTTCGCTATTAACTTTGCTACTTAACTAAAAAATGGTAAAAAAATTTTCAGAGCTCAAATGAAATTATTAATCTACAATGAACGTTCGAATTTGCCAATTGCAAAATAGCTACAATTATTAATTGACAATGGAAATGTCTATCTCGCGGGACATCCACAAATCGACGAGCGATCATTTTACCACTACACAAAAATTCGAATAAAAATTCCTAAATCTATTTTAAACGGTTCAACTAATCGAGACATGATAAATACGACCGTATAAATAAAAGATCATTGCAACGAATATCTCGCTAACCTCTCTAACAGTATTAAAATACAATAAATTTTTGCATTTAATGAATTAATGCGTGACCAGTTCTACAGCTTTTTGCGTGATATATATTATACGATATATACGATATTTGAATATATGTTTTTTTATAGGAAAAAGAGAAAATTGTACATATTGCAAATCTGCTAAATGCACCCGAGCTTTTTGCACAGAAAAAAAAACATGTAATTCCATTTTAATTGTACAACTATATCTATATATTCGGAATGATAAATTGGAATATGCAATATGTTTGCTTTATATTAATACATATTGCGTGCTAAACACCACAAATATACTTGTATGTAAAACATGTATGAAACCGTAAAAACAGCTGTTAACAATTAAAAAAAAGGGAAACGACGTCTGTCTCCATTTGTTTGTACATTTTTTCTCTTTCTTGCTACGACGTTATATAATTTTATGCAATCTTCTCCCTGTTTCGAACTCATTTATTCCATCGTGTGACATGCCGAAACGCAACAAAATTGAGCAGACTTTGCTATGACAATGCAGATAAGAACTTTCCATAGTCGTCATGTAACTGTATCCCAGTGTTCTATCTTGTGTCTCAATTTCGTATCAAACCTACACAAGTATTCTGCGAGTAAATCGCACGCAAAGGCATCCTTAAAGAAAATACCTACGCACACAAATCCATCTTAAAATTCATGAAATTTTAAAACCTTGTGAATTAAAATTCCAGATTAAAGATTCCAGAAATACTACACATACAATATCCAAACCTCTCCAAAATAAGAAGTTAAAATTCGCAAACAAAAAGAGAAAGTTAAATGTTATTTCTTATTAATAAAATATATAAAAAAATTCAGTAGTAATAATTTCTGAAAAACGTCTACTAAATAATAAATACTGAAAGCAACAAGATTACCAAAATTCAAATACACGTGTATTAACAAAACGTTATTAGAAATGACAGATAAATAATTATCACAGTTCTCTTTTAACATGGTCTGGTCACAAAGAACCTTGAAAAAAAAGAAAACTGATTTTTTAAGCATTAATCAAATTTGAAATAAGAAATCTCTATGATTTTGTATATATCAACAAATTAAATAACGATTGTAAAACAGATTACGTTGACAAGCGGGGAACGTATCTATAGAACGCGTTGGTGCCGAGCTTGCCCAAGCTTTCGTCAAAATCAAAATGCCAGTTGCCTCGTCCCGGCCACAGCCGGAGGCCGATACGTGAGCCGAATCAGCTCGTACAAAATATCAGAGAGGGAAATAAACGTTTATCGAGGGCGCAAGAGAAACAATAAAAATAACTTGGGAGCTTCCCCGAGAGGCCGAGATGTTCAGCAAACATGTTAACGCAGGCAGGGGTTCTCAAACACTTCCCAATTTTGTATTTTTTCAACCACGCCCAGTACATATGTGTTACAGTAGTACGTGTAGCAATGTATATCAACGAGAGAGAGAAATGCTATATATTATATTGGTACAAAAAAGGTTTGTCACACACACACACACACACACACACACACACACACACACACACACACACACACACACACAACTGTATGTGTTACAGTAGTACGTGTAGCAATGTATATCAACGAGAGAGAGAAAGGCTATATATTATATTGGTACAAAAAAGGTTTGTCACACACACACACACACACACATGTTTGTCAAATAAAGATAAAAACAAAATCGAAGCAAAATTGCCGCCACGCGCTTCAATATGCTCTTTTTACACCAATAGAGAAACTTTTCAATTCCCTTTTCGTAGAATTTCGATTTTCAGACTTTATTCAACACAAAGCTAGACGGAAAAATCCATCTGATGACAGATCTTCTGTACCAGTCTAAACTATAGTAACAATATGTAAAAATTATATACTTTCGTTATTACATTCGTATGAAGATCGTTATCGTATACGAAAAGAACAGTTTCGCTAAAGTATCTAAAAATTAAAATACGTACAGATCTGAAAATGATTTTGTTGGAATCATTAAAATAATTATCTAAAACGCTCAAGTTGGTTGCTATAATATCAAAACTTTTTGCAGCTTTACAGTTATTATGCTTCAATTTTCTACATAATTATTTTGATGGTCCAGTAAAATATATCTATCTAAATTTTTAGATACTTCAGCAAAATCATTCTTTTTGTAATTGTACGAAACTAATAAAAAAAACTAATAAAAGAAACAAAAATCGAATAATAAACTTTTAAACCTGGAATGCGAAAATGTACGAAAAAGAAATAGGTCACGTACGAATGAGTTAAATGATTCGGCCGCCGGCATTAACCTCCATAATACACCGACCTATCATTCATTTTATCTCGAGCCTACATAGTGCGAGCATGTTGCAAACGTTATCCGGTACGGTGCAATGTTTCGTAGCACGTAGCGCATATTGGATTACAATGAATCCTCTTACGACGCGGCGCAAGGCTCTCAAGGTTGTACTGCGACCTTTGCCATTATCAACAACGAATTGCGAAAAAGTAAGCCCTCACTATATAACTCGGCGCGAGGAGTCCTCGGAACTCCAAGAGGATCTCTTGCCGTTTTATTCCAGTTCGGTAGATCGCAAATATTCGTGAATGTTGCACAACTGAATTTACTTGCTACCAACGATGCAACGGTATTACGTCGGTATTACGCGAGTACAAATATTGATGCGAGTAATAAATATTGAATCGGAACAAAAGTAGCACTGCTTCATTTGTATCTACATATTTTCGCCTATTACATCAGTCTATGGAACAAAGTTTCAGTTTTAAAAATCTGTTTTTTTAATTGCAGCACAATGATTTTTAATGAGTTATGAGCAATCAAAGTCTCAAAATACTTATTTTATTTAATCCGCAATAATTTAGTAATAAAAAGTCTTAAGAACATTTTTTAAATAAAAGACAATTTTGTAGAGAAAACTTTGACGTCAAAGTCGAAAATTTTTCATTTTGTGCAGCTCGTAGTTTTCCATATGTAAAAATTCTTAAACTTAGAAATTCAAAAGACATAGTGACAGAATGCAAAAGAGGTAATGACTTTTCGAAAATATAAATTTTAAGCTTTAAAACCGTTTTTTTAATTTACATCTCATTTATTTTTCACAAAATTACAGCTACTTAATATTTAAAGTTCATAACGCTACGAATTTTTATTCCGACCCAATACATATTATATTGTAATTTATTGTTATCGTTATACATATTTGCGTCATCATATTGCATTTCTTATTCCATATTATTGTTAAATTATTATTGTTGAATTTAGAACGGATTTATTATATTTATTTATTTATTTATTTATTTATTACGTACTCGTGCCGAATTCATTAATATTAATTGTAGCTCAAATATTAATTAAAGCTGTGTGTGTGTGTGTGTGTATGTATATATACGTACACATATATACAAATTGAATACATAAAGTTTACTTTAGGGCATATACGTTTGATTTATTATTCACGATTAAAAACTTTGTACACAATTCGTTTCACGTTAATGGCATAAACTTTTTTATTCTCTGTCGTTTCTTATCCCTGGTATTAGACTCGCCGCATTATTCGTGAAACAATCAGAAAC